AGAAGAGTCTTATAACTCAACTACAGGATGAAAAAGAGAAACTTTTATCAACCGTCTCTGGTCTTCAAGATGAGGTAATCCTATTGAATTCTAAACTTGAAAACATGACCAAATCCGTAAGAGCTTTGAACAATGAATCTGATGTGTTGGATGAGATTATTCAAGCTAGGAAAGGAGGTAAAATATTTACGCGTATATGGTTTAATTACCAATCTTTAAATAATAAAAGAAAAACCCATGTGACAAAGTTTGCTCCTGGTGAAGTAAAGGGTGGGCTCATAATGTCTTATCAAATGTTACAACATTCTGTCAGACTTCAGAAAACTCAGACCAGGGGAAAGTTCCAACTTTGGAAATGTCATTATTGAGGTAAATATGGTCATATAAAGCCCTTATGTTACATATTATATGGTTACCCAAAGCATCCAACAAAACCTAGGACTAATCATGTGATGACTAAAACTAGAAAGTAATGGAAACCTAAGGTTGTTAATTCTAGTCTTATAGCCCATACTTCCTGTAGGGCTTCATCTATAGAAGACTGGTACTTTGATGATGGGTTTTCTAGACACATGACTGGAGTAAAGAAGTTTTTTCTGGACATTAAGTCCCACTCCACCAGTTATGTCACTTTTGGTGATGGTTCCAAAGGTGAAGTTAAAGGAGTTGGAAGACTATCATGCACATGATTCCCTAGTCTTGATAACTTTCTACTTATGAAAGGTGTGATTGCTAATTTGATAAGCATAAGTCAGTTATGTGATCAAGGTTTAAATGTGAATTTCACCAAGTCTGGATGCTTGATTATGAATGAGATGGATAATGTTCTGATGGAGGGAGTTAGGACTAAAGACAACTGCTATTTGTGGGTTCCTCAATAAACTACCTGCTCTTCCACTTTCTTAGTTCTCAAGAAAGATAAATTCAAGGTATGGTCTCACAAGCTTGGACAACTGAATCTCAAAGGTATAAAAATAATTGTGTCTAAAGAGGCCTTTGTAGGTATTCCTAAGCTCATAATATGGGAAGGAAGAATCTATAGGGAGTGTCAAATTGGTAAGCAACCCAAGATGTCACACCCAATGTCGCAACATCAGACTACGCCCAGAGTTCTAGAACTTCTTCATATGGACTTAATGGGGCCTACAAAAGCTGAAAGCCTGGGTGGAAAGAGGTATACCTTTATGGGTGTTGTTGATACTTATGGTTTAAATGTTGCTGTTTCAAATGTTTCAAATGTTGTTACCTATGAAATTGTGAGCCTAGATAGCTCTAAAGCGAAAGAAACTCTAATTAAATCTAGTTTAAATATTGTTGTTAATGAAATTGTTGATATAAGTGTTAATATGTCTCTTTCTAAGATCTTGGTTACTGACCCTGAGTCTGATGTTGTTTCAGATGTCGCAATATCCTTGGCCCGACCTGATCATCCTGTTGAAACCACACAAAAAAACTTTCAGAGTGAGTCTCTTGAAAAATCTCATGAGAATGTGACTGAAGATTATTATGTTGGTTGTAAAATGGATGATTCTGATGATGAGCCTATATGAAAAAAAATTAGCTCATGGTGTTGTTAATAAATAGAGGAACAAAAAGGAGAAGGTTGTTGTGTCTATACGCAAGCCTTCTAAGGCATCCAAGAAAAGTACTAAGGTTGGACTTGACAAAGGATGAAGTAAAAGTGTGGCCCCTACTACCAAGAAAAAGTCATTGACAAGAATGGGAGTGCCCTCAAGTGACTTCGAGTATGATTTCAAATAAGATGTTCAAGACATCATTCCTTCTACTAAGAAAATTTTTGTTGATGTGGATCAAAGTGTATACAGGAGTATGATTGGTAGTCTGGTGTATCTTACAACTAGCAGACCAGACATCACTTTTGTTGTAAGAGTTTGTGTTAGATATCAGGTTGAGCCAAAAATGAGCCACTTTAATCAAGTGAAGAGGATATTGAAGTACATAAATGGTACTAATTATTATGGATTTTTGTATTCTCGTAGTCCAAATTTCATGCGCGTAGGGCATTATGATGCATAATGGGCAGCTGAGAATGAGTATATTGTTGCAGAAAGCAGTTGCTCTCAACTAGTGTTGATGAAACAGATGTTGAAGGAATATAATGTCAAGCAAGATGTCATAATATTACATTGTGAAGATCTAATTGTTATCAGATATCTTATTCAACATGGATGGAACAAGAACTAAGATAGTCATAATCAACTAATTAGGAATCTTGCTGAAGTCAAAGTTGTTATTTTGGAACATGTGGACACTAAGGAACAACTGACTATTATGTTTACTAAAGGATTTATAGGCAATGGGCTAGGCACTTGCCCTATTAAGGATTTATAGCAATTACATGTATGGAGGAATGCAACAGATATTGTATCTTTCCTCTATTCTATGAGGCATGATAAGCCTAACCAAGTTGCCATTGTTAAGGGATGGAACAAAAGATCTTTGCAAGATAGAAGGGCTGGTTTGAAAAAGATATGTTTTAAGGTTGTGGAAAGGGAGTTCAATGTCAACACTCCTAAAATATGTGGCAACAACAAGGAATGCAGAAAGATCTTTGACAGGGGCAAGAGGTGGAACATCACCTGAAGATGATCAAGAATGTGTGTTTCCATCGAGTTATGTGTGTTTCCGTATGAGTTTTATTTATTTCCAACTGCATTTTGTGCTGCCATAAGGGGAGTTCTGCTACTGGTTCTGTGATGTCAGACAAGATGTCTTGACAGTGTTTTGGGGGTTCTTGATATGTGGTTTGGTTTCTATTTTCGATTCTGCTGTGTGTGCTTCTGATTTGGTATAAGGGTGTTTCTTCATTGAGAAACAATCTTGGCTCTTGGATCATCAATTATATATTTTATGCATCCTGGTCTTTCTCTAAGACTAAGTACAATGTTGAGGAAGGTGTTGCTTTTAGTTAAGTTGGATGCTAAAAAACTATAATGTCAAACAGGATGTCATGACATTGTACTGTGACAAGCTGGTTACAATCAGGATAGTCAAGGAATTTATTTTGGCCAGCAGGACAAGGTCATTGTGACTGGTCATCATTTTCTCAGGGGTGTTTTGAGAATTTGTACTGATGAAGAGTTATAGTGTGTTTCCATTGCTAGTGTGTGTTTCCTTTTTTGTTTACATTTACTCTAATTTTTGTCAATTTTTGGCTAAAAAAGGGGAGTAAAGTGTTAGTATATTTTTTTTTGTCCTAATGTCATATCATATGTCTTGACATGTTGATTAGCATTGTGATAGGACTTTGCTACTGCTAAGGAGAGAGTAGTCTATTGTTGATGTTTGTTGCTTGCTATATGTGGGATTTTTTTTGCTGATGTGGTATGTGTGGCATGATGTCATACGAAATGTTTTGACATCTTTCCTTATGTGTTTATTTGTGAGGCTTATTTTTCTTCTGTTGTATGTGCCTCTGATGTGTGAACTTAGATAGTTCATGGTTTGGATTTTCTGGTGATTTGAATTTTCCCTTGAGGGGGAGTATTGGTTACGTGTAACATGGGAAGTAATGGACCTGTCTAAGGTTGTTGTGTTTGAGCTGTGTTGATGTGGTTTCAGACCACATGTCTTGACATCTGATCTCTGGAAATTTCTGGAGTTTAAAGGATTTGTAATCTTTGATGATCTATAGCTGCATTTTATCTCTGATATCTTTCTGTTTGCAGTTTGTATAAAGTTTATATGTTTTCATGTAGCTTGTGTTTTGTGTTTGTGGTGTTATTCCTCTTCTCCAGAGTTATTGTGCAAATAATGTTTTAGCCAAAATTTGTCAAATGAGGAGATTGTTAGGTCTGTGATTTTATGATTGGCAACAATTTTGGTAAAACATGTTTAATTTGGAAAAACATGTATCACTGCCAGATGTTGAGCAAGATGTCATGACATATTGACCAATTGGTACAATAGAGTCTGCTGTTACTTTTCTTTACAGATGTTCTGACATGTTAACTACAACAAAAATGACTTTAGGCAACGGAGGAATAGACAACGACTGTAAAACCGTCCCTATAAGTAACATAGGCTACGCGTTTTTACGTGTTGACGTTTTTTTTTCAAAACCGTCCCTTATTTATTATATGCTACGATTTTGAAAATGTGGTTATAGTATAACTGTAGCTTATTCCTTTTTTGCAACGCTTTTGAAGTGTGGTATTTTTTATTTCTATTTTTTAAAATTTAATGTTAATTATTCGCATATAATTAAATGTACATAGTGGGGATAGAACCCCTGTCCTTGAAGTGCTCTAACTCAAACTTGAAAATATGATTGAAAAATTAATTTAAGAAAAATGGCAAAACTAAGACTTGAACCCAAGTATTTTGCTATGTAGAAAGACCTCATTACCACTAGAACAATAACGCCATATGATTTTAATTTTAATTCAAAAGTTATTAATTAACTAATATGTTCTAAAACTTGAAATTGGGGTTTGTTTAAACCCTAACTTTTTCATCTCTCTGCACGCCACAATGCATCAGGAACCCTTCTCCGCACTGGTCTCCGATAATCGGTTGCTCTCCGCCTCATTTTCCAAACTTGTTCAAAACCCCGATTTCCCCCCGAAAATCTCTTAAAAGCTCTCAGTGTGAGACTCAAAGTTGTAGTTTCTGATGCAAGTTGAAAATAAATTCCGTGAATTTTTCAATTCACGGTTGCAGCAGGAAGTTGGAACGAGGATGGATGATTCATCAATGGCTTCTGAGGGAATCGCGGTGAAGTAAGTTATGGTTTTTGATTGAGGGTTTGTGAATTTCGAAACATTCGGGTTCTATCAGATGCATTAAATGAATTTGAAATTGTTGCGCTGGTGGTAGGAACCCAGAACAAAGGGTGATGGCGTTGAGGAGAAAGACAGTGTGGTGTGGACACATGTAGTCAATTGTTTCCGTTTTATCAAATTATAACCGATTTGGAATCTCTGTCTCTATGATCAGATTTTTTTCGACAATTCTTGGCATTATTTGGCATTCATCAGATGTCTCTCTCCTTATTTCGATTCGTCGCTGCTGTTGGTAGAACACTAGTTGTTGCTAATTCATTAGGTACATTGACATTGCAAGTGGTATTTGTGCTTAGAGGGTTCATTATTGCCAAAGGTAAGTAATGAAGTGATAATTGATGCTTTTTTTTCACAACATTCACACACTCACTATGGACCAATAACTTGCACTAGCTATAGTTCGAACAAATGCTTATTGCAGCATATTTTCTTTCTTTCTTGTAGATGATATTAAGCCATGGATGATCTGGGGCTACTATATATCTCCTATAATGTATGGCCAAAATGCCATAGCAATTAATGAATTCTTAGACAAAAGATGGAGTGAAGTACGAATTAATATTCCCATTCGTTTGTGACTTCGTTAATTTGTGTCAAGTGATCGTTACTGCTGTTATATATCATGGATGGTTAACCTTTTGTTTACATATTCCCTTTGCATTTAGTGTACGTACAAGCTCCAGAACTTTTCTCCGGAGAGGACATGATAAAATTGTGAGGAATATTGAGAAAAGAATTGCTGATTTTACTCATATACCAGTAGGTGAGTTCTTGAAATTAAAGTTTGATGCTCTTGCTAATGTTTTTTATTCAACAATGTATGAATAAAGTGGAATGTTTTCAGTTGTGTTTGCAATCTGGACTATGATGTTGAGATAGTATGTTATTTTTCATCCTATCTTTTACTTAAACAACCATAACTTCAGCTTTGTTTCACAATGTGCAGAGCATGGGGAGCCCCTTCAAGTTCTCCGTTATAAAGTTGGATAAGAGTATGTACCTGTTGCACCCCAAAATTTGACCAACCTCTTTGGCTTGTGTTTCATTTCATTGCATCAGCATATTACATAAAACATTGCATTGCATAGCATTTTTTGCATTTTTACAGAGGATCAAGAAATTTGTGTCTAAACAAAGAATTTGTCAAGAAAGTGGTGAATTCAACTGTTTAAGAGTGATGATATTCAAAGGATTTGTACACTTTGCAGTCATGTGGAAAATATCGAGATTTAATTTGTGATTAATTTTTTGAGTTTCCATTCAAAAATGGACTCTAGGTGTTAAAATCCAAATTTGAATCATGGTGTTCTTTCTATCTCCTTGAGGACTATTTCAGGATGTTATTCCTTTTCGCGGAAATTTTGAGGATGATTTTAATGATGAAATGTGAGGTTAATATGAAATTCGGGTTTAGTAATCATTGTTTAGTCGGAGAATTCGATTTGTTCCAAGATAACTAAAGGTTGTGAATCGAAAGAAATAAAGTCTTAAAGCCCATGAAGCACCATGCCAATATTACAAGTTTTCTACAAAGCCCATTTTGTTCGTTATTTTACAACAACAAAAAGCCATAAGGATTATTCGGCCCATTATGTCACATTACAAGCTATTTTGGAGGAAAAGAGGCCCCATTTACATTTGCTAGCATCCCAGGCCCATTCTTTACAAGAATTGTCACAAAATTAGTACAAGAAAAACAGGCCCATTAAATCAATCTTCAAAAACAATGTGTGTACAAAATTATGGTCCAATGTTCAAATCCATCACCGATTACCAAAAGCTCTACAAAATATAAAAAAAAAAAGCCCATCCAACATAATCCAGGCCCGCTATCTTACATCAAGGATCAAAAAGTCGTAAACAAAGAGATGAAAATATTACAATAATGACAAGCCCGTTTTGAGGAGCAAACATCATGAAGGTGCTAGAGTATATTGACTTCAACAATCCCAAGATACAAATTGTCTTAATAGGATTACACAACAGTCATTTGATTCAGTTGGAAAGCCCACCTCTGATGAGAGCTTCAAACAACAGGAAGGCATAGTTGGGTTTTGAACTTAAGCCTCCCTCATACTTGTTAACCACAACACGTCTCTGCACGCAGGAAAAAGAAAAATAATATTCACAAAAGCTGCAGTACAAACGCAACTATTACTCTGAAGAAGAAAAAGAAGAGAAAATTGGTAAAATAAAAATACCAGCTGCAACATTTTTTCACAAAAAAAGCAACATGGTGTTGTTCTCGTACGGAGTCGATTTTACCGAAACGAAAAGCAGAAAGCGTTAAAGACAATTAGAACAATTATGGGATGTGCAAAAAGGAATCTTGTAGCAGCAGTAAAGGGAGCTCCTAACAGTTACCATCATGATGCAACCTGCGTAAAACCGTATTGTTCATAATACGACAAATGCAAGGATGCGCGTCCACTTCAACTTGCAGCAATCACGGTCAACAGCGGTAATGTATCAATGTTTTGGGACCTCACACCGTGCATCAGTACCTACAAAGGAGAAATAACACAGTAAATCAAAGGAAAACACCACGCGTGGAGGACATATCACAAGGCAAAATGAAACGTTATTGGAATTAACCCAACACAATTGAAATTTACGGTTAATAGACAAGACAAAAAGAAAATTTCAAATCGAAGTTGCAATGGAAAATAGCTTGATAAATTTGAAAGAAAGAGAGCTACACTAACCGTATGGACTGCACGTTGCTACAGACCAAGTACGGATTCAGCAAAGTAATATACACCATTTTCCTCCACCAAACGTAATAGCAGCTCCCAATTCACCTTCACGTTTTTTTTGCAGCACCAAACCCACCTTCAAATCGTACAATTCTGGCACATCACAGAAACCTGCAAATAAACCATATCACCACGCCAGAACAGCTAAACACTCTGCTCCCTGCTACACTCAACACACCAGACAAGTTCTGCACAACCAGCCCACACTACTGCATAACCGTACCTCCAGACAAAACCTGCTACACACAGTAGCTCACAAATCCACTCCATGCCAGACCAACAAACCACAGCCTGCTGCAAGGACGGTACCAACCTGCACAAGCCTGCACCACATACAACAAAGAAAAAAACAACAAAAAGCAGACCATTATTTATTGTTTTGATATTACCTCCACATGTGATAGCTTTCTCTAATCAACTATACACCATACACTACCATCTCATTCACACAACACACAGTTACAACTTCAAAAATAAAAAAAAAGCCTCATTCATCTGTTTATCATTCACCACTTCACCTGTAACAACAATGGGTCAAAACCTTAGTTGTAGATGAACCAACTATGATCATGGTCTCTTCACAGTCGTGCAACAAGGTAACCTTGAAGTTGTAGCAACTCTGTTGCAACAAGACCCGTCACTTTTTCATCAAACAACTCTCTATGATCGGTTTTTCGCCTCTTCATATTGCTGCTGCTAATGGTTAGATTGAGATTCTGTCGAGGCTTTTGCTTGGATCTGTTAACCCAGATGTTTTAAATCGGCAAAAACAGACTCCTCTTATGTTGGCTGCAATACATGGAAGGATTGCTTGTGTGGAGAAGCTCCTTGAAGCTGGTGCTAATGTTTTGATGTTTGATACTGTTGATGGAAGAACCTGCTTACACTATGCTACTTATTGTGGCCATTTCTCTTGCCTTCAAGCTATTCTGTCTTCTGCTCAATCAAGTTCTGTCGCTGCTTCTTGGAGTTTTGGTTCGGTTCATGAATATTAGAGACGGAAAAGGTGCGACGCCATTGCATTTGGCGGCTCGACAAAGAAGGCCTGAATGTGTACATATTCCGTTAGATAGTGGAGCTCTTGTTTGTGCTTCAACTGGTAGATATGGCTATTCGAGAAGTACTCTACTTCATGCTAGAGGGGGATCTCTTGATCGCATTCGCGAATTGTTAGCATGGGGTCACACTTGGCCATGAAGAGGGTTCAAAAGCACTGTTAGTAATCTCAGCAGAGATAACATAACATGAGCATATGAGGAAACATGAAACAAACTTCATCATAGTTAATATCACTTCCAAACCTGAAAGAAACTCCGTCAATGGCGGAAACTCATCTCAAACCGTTTTCTAATATTCGACTTTGAACCCACTACATTCCTTCTACGAATCATACCCCTGTAGAACCCCGAATCAACACGCCGGTTGCTGGCCCACTTTAACAGTCCCACCTCTATCATCGACACGAAAACCGCTAAGCTCCGACGTTGAACCATATAGCAGAACACCAACATCACCTTCCACGTTGGAGATAACTTTCAAAACCAAATATCCAACTTCATCTTCAAAAAATCCCCATTAAACTCCTTCCAAACTTTCAAACCATTAAAAAACCTTCTTCCATCTTCAATGGATCTCTCTGCACAACTTCAAATCTGAACTCACCATCACCGGCCAAAAACTCACAAATATCCAACTTCAAACTTTCGAAAATCCCAAAGACTCTTTTGTACACCTTCAACTTTCACCTTCAACATCAAACTTAGCACCACCGTTAACCTTCTCCACCTTCAATCCAACCCCTTTCTCAAACTTCCAAAAATCTCCGCAATAACCGACCACCACGTTCGCCCATCCCCTCAACTCCTTTCCTCACCACCTTCATCAATCATCTTCTTCATTACTTTTCGAACAGAACCAACGCAAACCATCAATCTCTCAGAAACTCCATTAAGACTTGCTACCCAACCTTCATCATTTTCCTCTGTTCTTCCTTAACCCCCCATCCTTCATAAACATTCACCATCTACACAACCTGTGAAATCCATTCCATATTCAAAACCGGTAAACCACCTTCCATCTTCAAACCTCAACCCCACGCAAAACCCTAAAATCTTCTGTTAAATCACACTTCGATCCAACTCCAAACAAACCACCGTAAAGATTTCACAAAACCCACAAAATGACTTCTATCACCACTCCACTGTTCTTCTTCTTTGTTTTCACCACTACTTGAGCAACCATTGAAACCCATTAATCTTCATCTTCTCAGAACCCAACCTTCGAGCTTCAATCAACCCCAAAACCCGTCGAAATTCATCTTCACCCTCTCACCTCAAAACCAGGCAAAACCCTTCGCGTCTTCATCAAAATTCCATCCGCAAAACTCGCGGCCCATTCCCAAACTGGGATACAAAGTTGTGTCCGAGTTCATGTTGATATTGGAGATGTCGATGAACGGTCAATATTTTTCTGGAGGTTCTTATTGAAGTTGAGTTGAATGAACAGAGGGAGGGTTGAGTTGAGGGAAGATGAGGAACGGAGAGGTTGATATTGAGGCTGTCGATTTGTCTTGAAGAAGAAGAGTAAGAAGGGGAGGATGCATGAGATTAAGTATATGGATGGTGATGTTCATAGTAATGTTAATGTCGATGTCGATGATATTGGTGATGATGCCGTTGCCGGCGGGGATAGGGTAGATGACAATGGTGATAAAAGTGGAGAATTGTGTGGTTCTTGGCGAGCAAGAGTTTTTTCTTTCTCTCCCAGATTTCGTTCATCTTTCTGATGCGTTTTTTTCTTTCCTTTTGGTTTTTTTTAGGGGA